TGCGCACCGCGATGAAGAGTGACCCCCGCTTGCCACAACTAGAGAAAGCCCATGCACAGAAATGAAGACCCAACACAGCCATAAATAAATAAATAAATAAAAATAAAATAAAATAAAAAAAAATGTGCTTTGGCAGAAGAGAAGCACAGACTAAAATAAATAAATAAATAAATAAACAAACTCATGGAAAAAAAGATCAGATTTGTGGGGACCAGAGGCTGGGCGGGCAGAGGGGTGGGAATTGGTCAAAGACAGTCAAAAGGTATAAACTCCCAGTTATAAGGTAAATAAGTACTAGGGATGTCATGTACAGCACGATCAATATAATTAACACAGCTATATGTTATGTATGAAAGTTGTTAAGAGAGTAAATCCTAAGAGCCATCCTCATAAGGAAAAATACATTTTTTTCTTTTTCTTTCATTTTGTATCTGTATGAGATGATGGACATTCACTACACTTATTGTGATCATCACTTCATGTTGTATGTAAGTCAAATCATTGTGCTTTGTACCTTAAACTTATGCAGAGCTGTATGCCAATTATATCGCAATAAAACTTGAAGAAAAAATAAAATAAATAAAATACATGTGGAAACACAAAGGGAAAAAGATAAGCAAAAAAGATAGTTATGGGGAATAGATGAAATGCCATATTTAAAATCCCTACTTTTTAAATACCATATTTTAAGAGCACCCTCTTGCCTGGTACCTTAAAAATGTTAATTCCCATATTGCCTTCTTCAAGCATATTGGAAAGTCTGCATTTCCAAGTTGCATGTTTTCTATTCCACATAGCTGTAAGTCACTTTTTTTTTTTCAATTCTAGAATGACTTGGAGAATTAAATGAAAACATATGAGGAAATTATTGTTTTTAAAGAAATGAGACAGTATTTTGATTTTTTAAAAGTACAAACTTCTTATTTGCTTAGCTTTGACTTCATTATAAGTAGTCTTATATATACTTTATATCTTAGTAATAATTTATTATTAATAAGATACTTTATATCTTAATGATAATTCTCAAGATACCAATCTATATTACAGTGTCTTAAATACTTATGCTTTCCCATTTCTTTTGACCTTTCTTTCCAGGTTATAAAAGATGGAGGCTGGCTCAGTGGTTCGAGCCATCTTTGACTTCTGCCCTAGCGTATCAGAAGAACTGCCGCTCTTTGTGGGAGATGTTATTGAGGTGTTGGCAGTGGTGGATGAATTTTGGCTTCTGGGAAAGAAAGAGGATGTGACAGGTAAGAGGTTCATAATTCCTCACGTCCAAAATAGACCACAGACCCTCCCTTCTTTCCATATTAAAAATAAAGGTTTAATGGGAAGCCCAATAAATACACTTCAGATCCTTTTGTGTTTTCTGTGTGTGTTTACTGTGGTTTCTACCAGCAAGGAGAGAATGTCTGTTATCACTGCATCTCTGCTTACTGGTTCCTTTAAAAGGTTGACATGGTTAGGTACCAGCTGCCCTCCTAGATTCGTGGGTGTCCTAAATTTATTAAATCTGCCCTCTACCCTAGATGCACTTAACTCCCACTTTCCATGCACCTGGTTTCCTTTTTTCTATTCTTGAAAACATGTTAGCACCAGTTTCTTTTATGAATTTGCCAAGGGAAGGCTGGAAGTTTTTCCCCCACACTATGCATCTATGTTAAATCCAATCTTTAACTTATATATATTTATGGAAGTCTGGGCTGGAGTATATCATACAGTCCTTAGAACAGACTCTTATTGTTACTTAAGCCACATTTAGGAGAGAATAGATTATTTCCCAGTAGAAGTGACATCTCAGCTGAGATAAAAATGGTGAGTAGGAGTGAGCAAGGCAAAGAGGATAGGCAGAGAGAATTGCTTATTCAGAGGCCCTGGAATGAGAGAGAAAACATGGAAGGACTGAGAAAGTTCAGTCTGGCATGAGTGTGAATGGTTGAGCAGGGGGAGATGGCATGGGGAGATGAGCAGAAGCTAGATCATGGAGGACAGCGCATGCCATGGAAAGGAGTTGTGGAAACAGGATACTGTAAATGTGCTTTAAGCACAATCAGATTTGTCTTTTAGAAAGCTCGAATCTGCAGATAGAAGAATGATAGGAAAGGGCAAAGCCTAAGGCAGGGAGGTGGGATGGGAAGTGGTTGCAGTAATCCAGGTGAGAGGTGCTGATGGCTTGGACCGAGGTGGTGAATCTGGAGATAAGTGGACAGATGCAAGAGATAGTTAGAAGGTGGAATCAACTAAACTTTCTGATGCGTTCCAACTGACAGGCCCTGTTTGTCTATTATTACTTGTTAAAACCCTGCCAATCTTCAGATTCAACTGTAGTCTTTTTCATAAAATTTTTCATTTTCTTCCTGACCCATTTCCTACCTTCTCTGAACTTCCATAGCAATTTGTGTACCTAGGATGTGACACTGGATTTCAAACTGAATTATTGTTTATGTCTGAATTAGACTTTATGTCTGAATCAAATTTTAAGATCTTTCAGGGCCAAGACTGTCTTACTCATTTTCCCCTCTGCAATGTGCCTTTGATAGAGTGACACCCAGTAAATGCTCACTGAATTGAATTGCACTCTCTGTGTTCTGCATGCACCTAATTTTGTGCACTGCATGTTTTCTACACTATATTCTCCAGTGATGAGTACTCAGTGAGTTTTCAATTCAGGGTTTATAAATGGGCTCAGAAAAAAGTTTTTTGTCCTGGTACACAGACAGAAAAAAGGAATTTTAATATTGGAAATGTTTGCTTTTACTTTCAGGACAGTTCCCCAGCAGTTTTGTGGAAGTTGTTACCATTCCCAGTCTAAAAGAGGGCGAGAGACTGTTTGTCTGTATCTGTGAATTTACATCCCTAGAATTGAACAGCCTTTCCCTCCATCGAGGTAAGTTGATCATCCAAGAGTAGACTGTTTAAAATAAAATTGGTGGAGTCAGTCCATTTTGACAACTAGATCTTTTTTTTTGAATTTTTATAAGTGACTAACCTCTAGAGAGTCTTCAATAATACCAAGATAGTGCTGACAATAATAATGCCTTATATTTGAGTAGCATTTCATAATTTCCACAGCATTTTTTCTCACAAATACATTCTCATTTCATTCTTAGCACAGACATGGCAGGTAGCAAAGTGGGTATTATTAACTGCATTTAAAAAATAATGAAAATGACTTCCTCTACTTACCAAAAAAAAAAAAAGATAATAATAATGCGAATGAGGTTCAAAGAATGTTACTTGCAGTTGAGAAGTTTTGGCCTTAGAATGTGAAGTTACATCACCTGATTATTTGTAAGTCCAGTATTCTCTTTCTACTGCCCCAGGTTGTAGCTACACTTCAGACTACAGTTATCTTTTTTTCCTGTAAAAATTGATATGACTTTGCTAACAACATACTATTTATTAATGCATAATAGTAGAGCAGGAATTACGGTATGCAAATTAAGAGAGAGATGCAAAACAGCCCCATTGCTATTCAACTATTAGGTAATGTTATTAAAGTTCTCATCAGAACCAGTTTAAAGGGAAGTGGTTTAAAACAGATGGTCATAGCCATGTCTCAGTGATATTCCAAGTATTTCTCACTTCTTACACTCTGATAGTCATATGAACGTCTAAATAGTGAGTGACTAAACCGTTTCGGCACATGTACTTGATTAAGTCCATACATTTCTGCATAAGCACAGAAACAAGTAGTGTTCCACAAACTGAAGCTTATGATCAGTGCAGTTTTATGATGACTCACAACAGTCATCAAAATTGTATAATTTATTAGGTATGTTATTACTATTGTTACTTACTCTTTTGAGTATGGCACTAAAGGGATAGGCTTAATTTCTTAAACCATGTACACATATGGGAGAGAGAGAGAGTGCAGAGGTGGGGAGAGAGACCTAGCAAAGTCTCTAACCCTTAGTCAGGGAGAAGAAGGGAATATTGGGCTTTGACCTTAATCCTCAAAATCAGCTTTCAGAGTTTCTTGCCTTCACTTTACACTAAGCCTCTGCCTCTGTTCTGTGTGCTTTTTTGCTAATCCGCGTTGGGAAGACAGACAGAAATAGATGAAGATGTTATAAGAGGGAGCCTCATCTGCCCCTACTCACAGCTCTCCCATAGCGGGGCTGAGTCCACGTCAGACCAGTCAGAGGGTCTGGTGGAAGCCAAGGCACAGTGGCTTCCACCAGAGCTGTGAAGAGGATGTGGGTGGCCTGGCATTGTTTTTTCCTACACCTGGTTCCTGGAGCAAATACTGTGTATAACAATGTACTATGTGGGAATATACAGTATGTCTACAACGTTTGAGGAATTTGAGGAAGTGGCTTCTGGAATTAGTTATTTTGCTTCATAATATATCTTGCATACTCAAGTCTTAGGTACTAAACAGATTTTCTGCTGAATGCCTCTCCTGGGAAGACTGGACTGATGTGTTCTGAACTTGATTTGAAGTTAAAATCCACCTCGGGAATCTCAGAGCCACCTGAGATTCTCAGGAAAACCCTGGTGTGGACCTTTCAGCCACAAGTCACCTCTACCAAGACTGACTCAAGGTCAGGCTGGGTCCTGGAGTCTGTAGATCTTATCTTGACTATCTTTTAACAAGTTAAGGCTGTGGAGCTGAAAAGCATAAGCAGAGCTCAAAAGAAGAGGATGCAGGGCAGGGGGGATACATAGGAAAAGAGAGAATAGAAAGAGGTGTGCTAATTATTAGTGGTTTTATCTTCTGTGATACTGTGCTGCCAGTAAACACATTGACTATTCAGCTCTCTTTCCTTCTATGCTGTTCACATATTTTAGCTCTGTATGTCTTCCGATTTGAACATAATAGCCTTTGAGGATGGGGAAAGTAGGTGTATCTATACAATTTGTCTTTTTCTGGGAAGTTTAGCTTGAGACACAGAAATGACTTTAATTCCTCTTGTTTTCTATATATATAACAGATATTTTACTAGTTAGAAACAAAAATCACTAAAAAAAATGAAAGTATTGTTTTATACTATATATAGTTTATGAATTGAATCTAAGTCTACTGCTTGGAATGGCCCTTCTACTTATTAGACTGAAAATGGCCCTTCTGCTTTTTCCATTAGATCAGTGTCTCCGCTCATGAGTATATACATTCCTTTATCCCTGTCCTCTAGTACTATTAATCCAGTTCCCTGTTGTTTCTTTGCCTTTCCTTTGGTCCTTCAGTGTAGCAGTGAAGCTTCTCCTCTTCTGTGATTTAGTATATGTCAGGAGGGATTTGGAAACCTTTAAGAGCATGTGGGATAATGTTTGAGATCTGTTTTGTTTTAACATGCTGCCTTTAGTTGTTATTTACTTACCTTTCAGGAATATCGAGATTTATAAGAGAAAAAGTTATATATTTTAACTATAAAATATTATTAAAAATATATATGTATTTAGGGCAGGCAGTATAGTTTAAGGGATAAGAATTCTGATGGCCCTAGATTTAAATCCAACTTCACAACTCAATAACTATGATTCTGTACTAATTACTTAAGTTCTCTTGGCCTCAGTTTCCTTGTCTACAAATAATAATACCTACATCAGTGTAGTTGTGAGGATTAAATGAGGTTATACATGTGACGCATCTGGCAGAGGGTAAGCACTCAATAAAGATTAGCTATTTTATTATTCTCAACCTGGGATTCTTGGGGTTCGTGGATGTGCTTCGGGGGACCTTATTTCCTGATAATTATGTGAAGTTTTGTGTGTATGTACATTTTCCCTGGGAGATTCTATTTCGAATCCAGACCACCAGTGGTTCTTCCAGCAGGTGTCACCCTTTCTCCTTTTCCCGAAGCTTTCCATTTGTTTTGGTCTGTTCCCTGTATTTTGAGTTATATTTAAATTCAGAAACAAGTTTGTCTCTTAGATCAATGTAGGTGCTGTCCTAGAAGATAAAGAGGGGGAAAAAGAGAGAAAAAACAAAAACAAAACAACAAGGAAAAGACAGAGAAAGAGGAGAGAAAAAAAATTAGTGAGAGTGATGAAATATTTAATTGCCTGACACAACACAGAATGCTTATCCCTTGCCTATAAGCTCATGCTTCTAGACCACCTCTCAACCCCCAGAAAAGACCAATAAAAATTAAATTGATAAATTTATTTACAAATAAATAGATTAATGATAATTATCAGTTAAAGCACTTGTGTCATAAATCTGTGGTTCCATGTGTGTGAGATATCAGGATTAAGGTTCTGATATGGCTCTTGTGGAAACCCAGGTAAAGAGTGGTCGGTCTGCATAGAGTACAGAGTCCCTGGGCAGTAGATTTCAGTGAGGGACTTTATACTGCAGGGTCAAACTACTTATATTCAGATTCTAGGACATTCATTCTTTCTTATCATCTTATTCTTAATGCATTTCTTGTTCGAATAAAAAAATCTAACCAGAAGAAACAAGCAGCGTGGTGGCTGGGATTAATCGTGCATAAGCAAAAGGCTCAGGCTGACCCTAAGAGGCACCCCACTTCCTATTTTTTTGTTCACTCTATTCCAGGAGTTCCTCACATTGTTGTTTTTGAAGTTTAGAAATGATCACTAAGCAGCCTCTATTCCTAAGGCACAGGAATGCAAAAAACTCAGTAACAGGGCTGTAAAATAAAAGTGTTCACCAAAATTATCTCTAAAGTGCTTTTCAGGGCCTAAATTGTGACTTAAAAAAAAAAAACCTTTATTATATAGAAATAATCAGCAGAATGACAATCTGCCAGGTAATAAAGCTTATCAAAACAGTCACCCAGGGAGTTCCCTGGTGGCCTAGTGGTTAGGATTCCAGCCTTTCATTGCCATGGATCGGGTTCGATCTCTGGTTGGGGAACTGAGATCCTGCAAGCCGCATGGCATGGCCAAAATAAAAACAAACAAAATTGTTTTCGGACTTCCCTGGCAGTCCAGTGGTTAAGACTCTGTGCTTCCAGTGCAGGGAACATGGGTTTGATTCCTGGTCAGGGAACTAAGTCGTGCCGCATGGCCAAAAGAAAAAAAAAGAAAGAAGGAAAGGAAAAAATCAGTCACCCAACTGAATATAGGAAAACAAACCCTATTACAAGGGTTTCATGAAGATTTGGTAAAACAAGAAAATATTCTAATTCTGCAGGTTTAAAAAAGCCAGTTCAGGGACCTCCCTGGTGGCACAGTGATTGGAAGTCCGCCTGCCGATGCAGGGAATGCGGGTTTGTGCCCCAGTCCGGGAGGATCCCACATGCCGCAGAGCGGCTGGGCCCGTGGGCCATGGCCGCTGAGCCTGTGCATCCGGAGCCTGTGCTCTGTAACGGGAGA